ATGCGTAGACAAGAAACTACAGTCTGAAATCGAGTTCTAACAGTTTCCATTTTTACATACTAGAGCGCATTGTGATATTTTTTATTCATCCTGTAGGAACTGTAGCTTCACCTGTAACTATCTATCTGACAATATAACATTTGAATAAATAGTACAATTATGGTATCTTAGATGTCGCTAAGGTGATCTTCTGTATACATTTAATTTAAAAATTGACATATCAAAATAACTTTGAGTAGATTGTCACGTGATGTACTGAAAATTGTATCTCTCCATTGCTTGCTACACAATAATAACTGATTTCGTATTAAGACTGACAGATATTATAGCTAACAAAATTAAAACAAATGTGCTTGAAATAGCAAACCAAACTTAAAAGTGGAAAATAAATAATAGTTTAAAAAAAATAATAATACTTGATTAGGAGCTATTTGTCANAAGAAAAGTTCTGAATATTCATAGACTGAGTGGAAAGACTATCTCAGAAGACAGTTTTTTACTGTTTTTTTTTAACTCAGATTGACTGAAAACTTTAAACTCAAGAGGAAGACGTTCATACAAATTATATTCCAGGCTATTTCTTTGGGATTTTGTTAAACGACGCTCCGTATGTCATAGTTATGTACATCTGTCCGATAAGGAACTCGAGTTTTTGTGAATTTCAACTACTTAATACTGCATATGTGTATAATGTACGTAATTTTTGCAAAATATGTTGACAATATTTTCTACAATTAGAGTAACTTATGATTCATAAAGCTCCATTTTAAGTCTTGATAATATTCGCAGCTCCCATAGAATTTCCCCAGAGAGCTACATCACAGCTAACGGAAGAGTGAAAAATAAGTTGTTTTCAGAATATGGGGACTAGTTACATCTCATAATTGCCGTAAAATGATTATTGTTGAATATACTTGCACTGTTTGGAACCTTTGGTGTAGTAGTGAATATTACTGGAGTTTTTTTGCCAACACTAAACCATTATTTTAACACCTCGACACGTGTTTTGATCACCAATAATCATCTTCAAGAGGAAGCTCAAACTAGTTGGTGACAATATAGATCCCTTGGGAACATCAGCATTGATGGTAAAATTATTCGAGAGATATGAGTGAAATACAATAGAAGGTTGCCTTTTGATCTTTGTTACCAAAAGCCATCTTGATGAACGCTCAAGATGTTTAAGCCTTCCAAATATTTAAGGATATGGTGATTTCTGGCTTTCTTGACATGTTCAGTACACTTAGAAACCGAATGAAAACAATGTTGCGAAAGGAAATTTTCAGTTTTTTTCTCGAATAAAAGTGATTTGGGAGTCTTTATTTCTGTTGGTACCATATTATGAAGATTATAGTCCAAAGATTTCTTTTGGGAAACAGAAAGCCGGTATTTTGGTAACCTAATGAAGTTTGCTTGTATCGTATTGTAGCTATGTATCACAAGACAAGCAAACTTCATTTTGTTACCAAACTATCGGCTTTCTGTTTCCCAGAAATGAACCCCAAACTTCCCTGTGGTTCATTTATATGTCAACCCATTCATATGCAAAATTGCTTCTTGTTAATTTTAAACAAATCAATCATCGATTCTTATTGAAGTCATGTATAAATGAATATATTATCCAAATTATATTCCAAAATGATGAAATGATACCTTGAATGATCAACAACAAGCGACCCTACCGTTCTTCATTCAGATATTGTTCATGCACTAGTTGCATATGTAACAATTGCTGACATATTCAGTCAATTTTGAATTCACTCCATTAACGTGTTCAAGGCGGGTGTTCATGAACAATAGTTGTGTGTAGAATCAGTTCCACTCGTCGTAATCACTTATAATTAATAAACAAACCAACAACCTTACCCAACTTTTTTGTACTAATTACAGTCAATGGAAGTTGTTTTTATTCACCTGTCATATGTTGTGCATGACGTGTATCGGTTTGATCGAGTCTAAAAATATACATGATGATTGACATGAGCGTAANCAACATGACACCTTCGTTAATTCGGTTTTGCGTAAACTAAAATTGATTGCCTCAAATCTTGAAGATTGGAAAAGTGAATCACATCAGCCGCTGACCACCATACCGTTTGTGATGGGAATGTAGTTGAAGATGTTTCTTTTGCCAAATGTTTTTACCTACTCATAATGTTTTTGAAAAAATGTTATCGAGTACTAGGTCTGAAATATTCAGACAAGTTAGTTGAGAAGATAATATAAAATAAAAGGAGAAATAAACAATAAAAGTATAATAACGCCAATTTGGTAAAAAAGTGATCATGACACGAAATAGAAATGGATGAATCAATGAATAAATATGTAATGCAACAAGTATGTTGATAATATTCAAACCAAGTCATTTCCATACTCATTGTTTGTTTCTCCTATTTTCTTTTTATTCATTTTGTTTTTTATTTAAGTTATTTGAATATCTCGGTCCTACTGTATTTTTTCTTATAGTGCATTTCATTCTTTCTAACATTCTTGTTACTCAAAGTACCAGACAAATAAGTTTAACAGTGACATTTCTAATTATTCCACTGCATATCGATGGTCCACATTTGTTATCAAAAATTATCTTATTGCTATAACGCCTGATATGAAATAATATGAAGTAATATTCGTCGCAGTATTATCCAAAGTAGTTCATTGTCGTATTTTCATATCACAAATTATACTTTTTTCGAAAAATCACTTCGAAGTATTTTCTATTATTCAGTTTTTGAAATAATTCCATCGGAAGATTAGTTGGCATCAATAACCAACGCACACTATCTGTGATGATTGGTTCGCTGACTCCTATGGCCTGAGAAGATACGACGCACTAAGAATGGAATTTCTCTACATTTCTCCTGTCAAGATTCCTGCCATAGTGCGGAATGATCAGGCATCTTGGAATTCGAGCATGTGGAGTGAATCATTTCACCAAAGACTCTTATAGGTTGAGGCTATAGCCATCACTAGACTTTGGTAAACCAAATTGTTTGTAATACTGAATATATCCAGTCCACCATTTTGTTAACGGTTTCGAGACATTGTTGAAAAGGAGACAAATTGTTTGAGACACGAAATAAAAAGGTCTTTGGATTCCAAATGCCTCAACCATATTCCAGCTCAGAACGAACAATGGAGTTAAAGAGTAACAAACAAGTGTCGTGATTGAATTCACGGCTAGATCTCAAGCTAAGTATTCAATGTGCCAAAAGAAACTGAACACACCAGTAAAAATGATCCCGATATCTTTCATCTCATTCATTCTCTGTAAATTGGTGTGATTAATGAAATATTCCTTGATAGTGGGTGACTTCCTTTCTGTGAAACTCATTATTTTGCATTAAGCTTCGTTGAGAGATAGGTCAGATACTGAAAAGTAAGTAGATAAATTATTGAGATCATCTTGAAGCATATCAGAATCTGTTTTGCTTTCGATTCTTCTAATCGGCATATAGGAGAAATTGAGAATACCCGATATACTTAGAAATGTCATTAACAAATAACACGAAAAGGAGAGGTCCCAAAATTGAGCCCTGCAGAACTCCCGAAGTAGCGGTGAATTCGAACGAAGATACGAATAATTCACAATTCAACAAAAATGTAATATCGCAGAGAAACGGCATGGTTTTCTCGATAAGAAATCTTATATAATATTGTTTAACACACTATGTTTGCTAAGTCTTTGAAACAGGAGGTTTCATAGATCACGTAGATAAAATATAAAAAACGTTCAAACTAACTGATGTTTATTTTTCTGAAAATTCAGGGTTATATCATTTTTCAGAAACTTCTATTTGCTCCATCGTAAGCAGTTTGTCGAATACGAAAAATATTTCATCTGTTATCAACCCTACAATCGAAATTCCACGAAGATCCAACATGACACCTTCGTTAATTCGGTTTTGCGTAAACTAAAATTGATTGCCTCAAATCTTGAAGATTGGAAAAGTGAATCACATCAGCCGCTGACCACCATACCGTTTGTGATGGGAATGTAGTTGAAGATGTTTCTTTTGNGTCCCTGAACTTTACACTACTTCAGGGAAGTAGAGTAAGATCAGAACGTCAGTCATATTCGCAGTAGCTGCTTGATGCTGTTTATTATTATCAATTTCACCTCGCTGATATCAGTGAATCAAGTTGAAAGTTTATTTTTGAGATCAGTTAATTCTTGTAAGGCAATTATTTTTTATCCTTGAATGGGAATGGGTCGGTACTTTCAAACTGTATATCTGTAGATTTTGACTTGGAAATAATTACAACATCAGGTTCATTTTGGTTTTAACATCCGAAACTGCGCAAGACATGATGCGTAGAAGCAAAAAATCTCAAACGGTCCGAAATTGTCTCAGACACTTGGTTAAACCAGAACGCATTTTTAGGAGACCACTGTGCCACCTATCGTATATATGAAAAGATGAAGACGAGAAAATACTGTCGGTCATGTCCATTTTTTTATGTAGCGTATCCTTGTAGTCAATTCAAATGTTATCTAACCTCAATCATCAATTATTTGAATCAAATGAATGAAAAAACATCCTAGCAAATAGCCCACATGAATGCGCATGAGCAACGGGAACAGTTCTCAACAGTTCAGCTTCGAGAGCAAGAACGATTCGGGACGGTTCAAGACAGTTTAGGATCATTTCGCAGTCGAAACCAGAACAGAGGATTCGTCAGTCCGAAATTATCCTCAATAAACCAGAACGCTCTATATCAACTGCGCATGATCCTTACGTCCTAGAACCTGAATTTCGTAGAACCAGAACAAACCTATTGCGATGAATATGAGTACTATATTCGAAATAACCTTTTTCTGTTTAAAAAATCAGGTGATTTTTCTACAAAACTACCTAGTTAAAACACAATTTTTATGTACAGTGAGTAAAGATGATAGAAATATTTTTCATCAGTTGAGGAATCCTTCCTATACAGTTGCTACCTCAAGAGACCCTATCAGGTCACTCGACACTCCCTTGACCCCGAATATAACCTTTTAGGAAACCTACACCTCGACGACAGAAGAAGGCGACCTAGCCTCCGGAACGAAATCCGTGAAGTTTGAGAAAGTCACGGTCCGCAAAACGATAAAGCACATCACCACCAGCTCCTCGACTTCATCCGTGCGCCACCTATCGACCGCCAGCCGAACCCCCTCCGAGGAGTTGGTCGACGACTCCGCCTACTTGACGCAATCGAACGGAAACGTGGCTTCGAACTCGAAAACTTCCAGCGCCAGTTCGCTCACCGGGAAGTTTCCCTCCGAGGAGAGCCTGAAGAGTCCGGAGGACCAGAAGAGCCCTTCGAGGGACGAATGGGACGCGGAAAGTAACAGTAGTAAAGTGACGAGTTCTAGTTCCGAGTGGTACAGCGAATACAGGACTCACAGCTTCCACACCGGATCTAGCAAGCTGGATTACGTGAGGAGCAAGTCGCAGTACGACGAGCATATTCAACATATTAGAGGTCAGTTTTTTAAATTCATGGGATAAACATGGGTGGTTGTATTCTAATTGTTAATGTATATGAGGTGCCAATAACTCTAGATGGTATTAAGGATGATTCTCAATAACATGCTAATATATGAAAACTTTGGTATGACCGTAACTTGTAAAAGTTCTTTCAAATGGACCAATAAAATATATCTATATATATCTATCTAACTATTGTGAAACGTAGTATCCATCTGAAGGCATTTACTGCTGTACAATGTGATTTTTTATTTCTTTTTGACAATTGTTGATAATTGCATAAGAATAGTCAAATAACATATCTTACTAGAATATGCTTCCGTCCAGAGTAGAGTAGTTGACATTTACTGCCAAAAACAATTTGTATGTCACTGTTTCTCAATGACAGAAAAAAATTAGTTCTGAAATACCCATCAGTTCTGAGCTTATGCGACCTCTTGATTTTTTCGTTCCAAATCATATAATTTCGTTTCTTATTGACAATTGCATAAGAATAATCAAGTAACATATCTTACTAGAATATGCTTCTGTACAGATTAGAGTAGTTGACATTTACTGCTGTAATGTGATTTTTTATTCTGGTCAGAGGCATCTACAGGGGATCATTCGAAAACCATTTGTATGTCACTGTTTTTCATTGAAAGAAAAAACAAGTTCTGAAATCCCCATCAGTTATGAGCTAATGTGACCTCTCGATTTTTTCGTTCCAAATCAAATCATATAATTTTATTTCTTGTTGACATTGCATAAGAATAGTTCAATAACATGTCTCACTAGAATATGAGCAGAGCGGAGTAGTTGGCATTTATAATGTAATTTTTTATTCTGATCTAAGGCATCTCCAGGGGATCATTCAAAAACAATTGTATGTCACTGGTTTTCATTGAAAGGAAAAACAGGTTTTGAAATCCCCATTAGTTCTGAGCATATATGTGACCTCTTGATTTTTTTGTTCTAAATCAAATCATATCATTTTATTTCTTGTTGACAATTGTTGAAAATTGTATAAGAATAGTTAAATAACATATCTTACTACAGAATTAGGATGAGACGCGTAGCATATACGCGTAGCACCTAGGTTTATGCATTACAAACTACTACGTTGGAAGTATTCTTAAATTGAATATAAACAATTATCAATTGAATATTGTTTTAGGATTTTTTCAATATTCTGAAGAATTAGCTAGCATACTGAAAAGTTTATACCAGTTCTTTTTGGTGCTTTATAAGTGACTTTTACTTTAGAGAAAAGTTGACGAAGGTAGTTGCCACAATGCGTATTGTAAGGATGAAAATCGCCGTAACATAAAAAATTAGAGCTTTTTTGAATACAAGGACACATAGTTAAAAATGTAGAGTCCTGTACATATTAGCATGTTGAATCCTTCAATAATATCTCGACAAAAATTGTAACTTTAGACGCCAGCTAATTTTCTTTGCCAAATAATAATTTCATGTGATTGAATAGGCATACTTCGTACACGAGTCTACTTTCCATTTGAGCGTAATATAAGTTAATGAACTGTTGTTGAGTCAGTACAATCTAAAAATTTCAAAAATTTATCAAAAATTGACAGTGGTGTTATCAATTCATATGGGAGTCGACAAACTTACCAAGAAATGTAATCGTTCCTCTTTGTTGGATGGAATTAAGTTGGTTTTTTCCATATCGTGATACAGGTATATATGATTTAACCAAGAGGCAAGTTGATTCAAAAACATAATGTTGATAATAGTGATTCTACTAAGCCAAAAAACTACTGAAGATAAAAATCAAATGACACAATATAACCAGATATTTGAGAAAGAAAAGGTTTTGGCTTTCTACTCCTTGATCTCTAAACAAAAAAAAACTATAATGTGAGATTCTTTTTTCTTTCAGTTTGTGTCTGAATCCTCCTTCCCAAAACATAACACAGATCATTAAAATTGGTTAATAACATGGATCATAAAATTATAACATTTTCAACTAGACTCTGTATGAAGTTGATATGATAAAAGAAAAAAAACTAGAATACATTTCATTAATGAATTTATCGAATCATTACCAAGAAATCAAGGTTATTTTGTATGAGAATTGAAAACATTCTAATCAGTTGAATTCGTTATGAAGAAAAGAGAATTAAAACTTTCTATGTTTTTTTTCAGTTTCATTTGTAACTAACGTTACTGCAGTTTCGTCCTATAAGGACATTTTCAAACATTGAACTAANTATTTAGATCATTCAGTTTTTAAATATTTTTTGAATAACGTGAATGGTAACCACGGAGTTTGAATAATTATCAAAATAGTTGCACGTTTAACTATAAGTAGGCTGCTATCGTTTCCTTTTTTAATGAAAAAGGTGTATCCCTGAAGAGATTATGTTTTTTAGAATGCTTTTGAATATCACAATATGGAGGATATTGTGTACAAAAGTGTACAAAATGAACTACATACGAGTATTTCGAACAATGCGGTATTCAAATGATACAAGTGTATACTTGAAGAGATTATGTTTTTACTAAAATGTTTTTGAATATCATCCATTCCATATGAATATGAAAGATACACATTTTTGACTAAGGCAACGTATCATACCAATAGAAACCTTCTATAAATGTGGTAAGATTAATAACTCTCAGTAAACTTTCTACAAGATGAATTAGAACTACAACTTTGGATATCTGTCCATCTATTCAAAAATGTTAATTCATCAATGTACACCCATTATAAATTTATGACGAGATTCAACACATACTAAGTTTTTGTAATATTCTCAGCAACTTCACTTAGCGCCCTAGGAGATGAGTAATATACATCGATATTGAAAATTTTAAATATCTCGAAAACGATTACCTCCAGTGTTGTTGAGGAAATGTACCTTTTTTCTTGGAAAAGGTGTGGAAATTAGTTTTTTCATGAAAAGTACTAAAAGTTCACGGTGAAAATTGATACGAAATTATGATCTCCCACGTCAAAAAAACACGGATACCAAATTTTGTGCAAATAACTTATTTTTTTACAAAAGTTATTTTTGGAAAACGAAGAATTAAATTTTCAATTTGCTTGTATGTATAAACATTTACCGTTAGTTAGGATGGCCATGTCGAAAATAATATTTCATTTACACAATCGAAACAAGTCACTACATTAAAAGATAATGACTCCTCGCTGATATAAAAAATATTACTGATTCAATTTACTAAAAATTGTTATTTGTTTCAAAATGTGTATTGTTTTGTGCAGTATATTGAATGTTAGGTCTTGTTGGGTTTTGATTTGTATTTGTTCCTCGTTAAGTGAATTATGTCTTTTGAATTTATGGATTTAGGATTTCCCAGATGTCCATACGGTTTCCTTTATTGACTTGTTTTATGAGTTTGATGTTTTCTGGTGGGGGAAAGTGATGTTTGTTTTGTGTGGCGTATGTTGCGAGGTTTGATTTATATGTTATTGGCTTTATGTATGCTTTTTTGTGCTCGTCGTATCTTTGGATCAGTTTTTTCTTAGTTTGGCCGATATAAGATTTGTTACAGTCCAAGCATTGTATGCTGCATTCGTTTTTACTTCAGTCGTGTGGTCTGAAGTACACTCGCTTTTTTTTCTGGGTGTTTAGTAGATATAACTATAGAATTACCTATTTCACTTTTTGTTCCGAGTATTTCTGTGGGGCTAGATGATTTGTGTTCCTCCTTAGATGACAATTTCTGTAATTTTTTGTAATTTGAATTTCCTTTCTTACCACCGTGTTTTTCTTCAGATAACTATAATCCCATAAATATTACATTTTTGTTAGACATTTGTCATTATAACTGAAAGAATGTCATGCAAGGGCGGATTCAGATCTAAATTTCTGGAAGGAATTAATTTCTTAATTTCGGGAGGGAGTTATTTTCAGGGGGAATAATTTATATACGAAAATGTGGTTGTGTATATTCTATAATACTCATTAGAAATGTATTGAATGTTCAGAACACTCTTTTCGATGCGCTTTCACCAACCAAGTTGGTGTCTTCAGGAGATGAGGAAAACTGAATCCTAAGTCTGAAACTGGTGTCAATTCATATTCAGCGGGGTTCAATTTCAGACACATACCAGTCATTTCATGTAGAAAAATGAGGAAAGAAAGAGTATCAAATTATTGAAAGTGGAAGATGTTTTATGTCTGACGACAGACAAAGGTAATACGGTTGTGATACTGGACAAATCAGATTGCTATGAGAGAATTGATAATTCAATTGGGAACGGTCCCTATAATAAATTATCAAGGAATCAATTGTCTAAGATTGTTTCACAAGTGAAAAACACACCCAGGAACTGTCAAAATTTTATTGTATTTACTTTGAACAGTAGAATACAGGTTTGTAAGCCTACATGCCCTAAAATATGTGGTCTACAAAAAATTCACAAATCGGTGCAATCATGTCTCCGCCATAAGTTCCATTACTTGGAGAACTCATGGAAAAATTACTTTCCACAGACTTGGATCCAATATGTAGATGATATATTTGCGATTTTTACACAAAGAAATCTATGGTATGTTTGGTTAAGTCTAAACTGAGTGGGTCTATTCGACCCTCCACCGCAACCCGCAAGGGTTTATTATGGCTCACACCTATTCACACTCTGCTATGGTAGAGGCCTATGTCTTAGCTCGTAACAGTAGATTCTGAACATTCAATTACCATTCTTGGATGTCTTATGATTATAAGTAACCAGGAATTTGATGTATGTCCTTAGCTCGCACAAGTTTCTTAACTTCTGAGAGTTGTCGTTCGTATGGAGGCGACAGCTGATTAAATTAACGGAAAACAGATTTTAAAACAGATTCAAAACAGAATTCTATCAGATTTACGAGTATTCCTGATGGCTCACATCATTGTCTACAACAAAAAATTATAGAACTAAGTTTTCTTGTCCAAGACTTATTACGTTCTCACGTTCTCTTTGAGGGACATAGCTGGAAGCAACGGCTATGCTTCAAATTAGTAGATTAGGAAACTTCATTTCAGGGAGAATCATCGTAAAATTTTCGACTTTGACTTTGACTTCGGAAATACATTGATTCAAAGTTAA